AATTCCCGTTGATGGGATGATGAGATCCAAGCAAGATAGAAATTACACTTCACATTACAATTTTGGTAAATAAGTCTAAGTGTACTTTATTGATATCATGTGGCCTACTAATATCATTATTGGAAATTTAAACTATCAGTCTTTCAATCCTATGCAATCAATGGCGGTTAAAGCTTTTATTCTTTTTTATTATCTATTTTCTAAATGACGAATCCATCATATTTCGCATATTTTACTCTATTCAGATGTGTTGTAAAATTCTTCCTGAAATTTTGGTTGAATCGTGCTCCTAGGGGAATTAAGCAAGGCCACATTGACCATAAAAATTACTCTTGATCAGCTGTTGATTGGCTTTACTGGAACACTCATGTTGACGCTGTTTCCCAGGCAATCTCTTTCGATTCCGGCGAAAACATGCTAAACTTTCGTCATTCGTATGACGAACATTATCAGAGTATGGTACCATCTTTATAACAAAATTCAAACTAACGAGTCAAGAACATTCGCCGGCTCATCCTCAAATAGTTGTATATATACTCTATATGTGACCTCCTTGATGGGGTAATAAGTGATTCGGTTATTTCCAATCATGTCAACTTGAAGTATGTGAGTGTGTCTGTCTCTGTATGTGCCAGTATGTGTTCGCATATGTATGAAACCAACAGTGATGGCTCAAAGTAATTAGGATAGCAAAAGTAACGTCTCTCGACCATCAAGCTTTGATAACCACCATCACCCCCTCTCTCATATATGTTTTAACCATGATTCCGATTGCCCAAGGTCGGATACACGTCTGGCTATGTTGATGAGTTTTTTGTGTCTTCATGTGAGTGAGAAAGAATGGGCTAAAAGTTCACAGAAGTGACCGTGATTATAAACAAGACACTAAAGGACTAGTTGAGCAGCCTCCTTTTTGCAGGCGACTCAGCATCCTCCCCATCCTTGAGCCTATTACTTAAGCACAGATAATCTTTACTTACTTTCTTGAAAGTATTCCATATTCGGTTTATTTAGACTGCTTCTCTAATTTTTCGCCTGGCCACAGACTAACCATAATCAGCAAATCGAGAAATTGAGACCATT